GTCTCCTCATTCTGTCTCTTGCGTTGTCTGTTTTTCTGTGTTAGGAAAGTCAGCTACGTCTCCTGCACTTGAAAGTAGTGGCTCTATGAAGAAGAGGTCCTGCAGTGCAATGTCTGTTCCCCAGAACCTGGTGCTTCAGGGGGTGTCTCCTATGTGTGTTGCTCCAGGGGGTGTCCTACCATTGTGGCTGGGATGTGTTTGCCTTCAGTCCTGTTGTCTGCGATAGCTCCCTGCCTGTTGTGGGCAGAGTCTGGTGCCCGTGGTGTTAGTGGGCTGCTCCGGGGCTGCCTCGGGCTTGAGTCGAGTCAGACCAGGTCCCCGCAGTAGCACCAAACTGCAGGCACTGTCCCTGTGTCCTCCCCAGAGAAGCTTTTGTTGGTGGGTGGGGCCTGCAGTCAGACCAGCTGCCTGCCCTCAGCCCACTGCTGGGGTCACAGTCATATGGGTGTGTGGTTATCTTCCCCTCTCCCTGGGGCAGGAGTCACTCTGGAGTGGTGCTGACCTTGTCTGGGCCGCGCACACACTGCCAGGCTTGTGGCACCACTTTGACGGGGTCTTGCCAAGAGCGATCAGAGGGGTGGATCTGCTTCGCTGTGGCCTCTTGTCTCTGCCGGGCTGCGGAGAGTCTGTTCTGCCAGTTTTCGGGCTGCTTTTTGGGTTATTTATGCCGACGTGGGTGCTCTCTAGGCGGCCACGCGGCAAGAGGTCAGCCCAGGGACGCCCTACTCCGCCATCTTCCCAGCAGCCTCTCTGCAAATGTTTTTTTAATTTCTAAAATATGTCAGACTGTTTTCCAAAGGGGCTGAACCAATATGCATTCCTACCAGCAAAGTAAAAATGTTCCAATTGCTTTCCACATCCTCACCAGCCCTTGGCTTTGCTGATTTTTGTTTTGTTTTGTTTTTTGTCTTTTTTGGTTTTGACTTTTTAAAAAAATTTTTAAAGATTTATTTCTTTATTTGAGAGAGAAAGAGAGAGAGAGTTGGGGGAGGGGCAGAGGCAGAGACTCTTCAAGCAGACTCCCCGCTGAGTCTCTCTCCTTACAGGAGAGGTGGTATACTCTCTGAAACTGCCATAACAAATGGCTACACACTTGGTGGCTTGAAACAACAGAAGTTTGTTCTCTTACAATTCTGGAGGCCAAAAGTTGAAATCAAGGTGTCAGCAAGGCTGTGCTTTTTACAGAAGCTCTAGGGGAGAATCCGTTCCATGCCTCTTCCAGCTTCTGGTGGTTACCAGTTTCCTTGGCTGAAACCACATCATTCTAGTCTCTACCTCCATGGCTATGTCACCTCTGTGTGTCTCTTAGAAGGACACTTGTTATTGGATTTAGGGCTGGCCTAGATAATCCAGTAGGAACTCGTTATCTCAAAATCCTTAATTTAATTATACCTGCAAAGAACCTTTTTCTAAATAAGGTAATTTTCACAGGTTCTGGGCATTAGGAAATGGATCTTTGGGGGTAGATAATTATAGCACTAGAAGTTCTACCTTCCAGGAAGATTTCCCTTCCTCGCTGTCCCCAGGGCTGTCCTGAGTGAGGCTGTCATGCCCCAGCAGGCCACTGCCATCTGGCCAGCACACCATCAGAACTCTCTCTGGAGTGGGAGAAGAGGCTCCACTGTCCCCCAGGACTCAAACAGCAGGGTATCACCCCCACATAGGAAGTAGGTTAAGATGCTGGTCAGCCAAAACTAAAAATAAACAATGTGACAGATGCCCACTAGAGATAGGAGTCCCCCCCACCCCTGCCTGCATCTTTTGAGTCACTGATAGTGACTCATTTCTACAGTTCTCCTGGGACATAAAACTGTTTTTGATTTATTATTTGGAGAGTAAGAGGGAGCCAAGGACTTTCACTTAGTTCTTCCTAGTACATTAACCTTTAGCTCAAGGGTCAGGGGGCCCAGGTAAGGATCTGACCAGTTCCTGGGGAACATAGGATGGATATCAGGCCTTGCAGTTCTGTACTCTCACACCCCCTGAATCTTATTTTAATGGTCCTATGCCTTGTAGCAATGGGCCTTAAAAGATTCTTTGAGCTATAGCACATAAAGGTCTTGACTCTCTCTCTTTTTTTTTTTAAGATTTTATTTTTAAGTAATCTCTACACCCAAAGTGGGACTCAAACTCACAACCCTGAGAACAAGAGTTGCAGATTCTTCCAACTGAGCCAGCCGGGCACCCCTTATTTTATTTCTTGAATCAATAATCTAGATATTTAAGTTTACCTTGCTTGATATTATTCAATGCCATTATAAGCAGCCACCCCACTCTGTGTTCATAATTTCTTCATTTTATTTATTTATTTATTTATTTATTTATTTTTAGTAGGCTCTACACCCAGCATGGGGCTTGAACTCACAATCCCTTGACCAAGAGTCACAGACTCTATGGATTGAGCCAGCCAGGAGCCCCTTCTTTATTCCCTTCAAATCTGTTTTGACCAAAGCCACTCAGCTCCCAGAACTTGACCCTCAGAGGACACATGATCTCTGGTGTTTGCAGCTGATAATTTTATTAGCTATTTCTCCTCTGTGCTGTGGGATGCTGCTTTCTCAATACTGACCATAAACAGGAATCTCAGCTAAAGCCTGGGCCTGAAGCCCTCTTTCTGGTGCCAATACTTGGATCAGTTAGGGCTCTTTGATGCCAACAGCCAAAACCTACCCTGGCTAATGAAATAAAAAAAGAAAGAAATAGAAGGATATTGGGTGGGTCACAGAGCTGAGGAAGGAACGGGGTAACCTGTCTTGGATTGGGAATCGGGGTGGCTCTGAAGCTCCCACAATAGGAGCTCATGGATCATTTGTTAAGGATGTTGCCAAGACCTGACTAAGCAATAGCTGTTTTCCTTTTGTCAGTCTAACCACCAATTCAGATTCTCCAGGGTGAGACTGATGGCCTCGTTTGGGTCACCCACCCATCCTTGTCTCTAGAGTCTGCAAGCCCTGTGATTGGCTATCTCACCAGAGCCTCAGGAAGCAGGAGAGGCTGCTCTCAGAGGCAGGGAAAGTTGTGCTGGGCAGGCCAAATATGGCCCCAGCCTCTGGCCTTCTTTGAGTGGGGAAAGACATAGTCCCTGCTCTAGGGAAGCTGCCAGTCCAATGGTGGAGACACAGCCTGTGCCCTCAATGACCCTCCAGTCTGATGGGAAGACTAGTCACAAAACTAAAGAGATTTAAGAGAAAGAGGAAATGTAGGTAATGGCACAGATATGTTCAAGACAGGGTTTTGGAAAAAAAAAGACAGGGTTTTGGGTTTTTTTAGTTTTTTTAGTTTTTTAGAAACGGCTAAAATACCCTAAAAAAGGGAAATGATTAAATAATTAAATGATTAAATGATTACATACTCTGTATCAATATACAAGCATTAAAATCAGGTTTTTGAAAAAATAGTAATATGAGAAAATATTAGTGGTATAATACTAAGAGAAAAAAATTGGATACTAAATTGTCCAACTGTGTAAAGTAGTATATACAGAAGGAGGGAAATACACCAAATAAACATTTTGAGTACTTTTGTATGTGAGGCCTTGAGGCCAATACATATATTATTTTACCTAACCCTTATATGATAGATACTATTTTTTTTGAGGGAAGGAGAGGAGCAGAGGGAGAGGGACAAGCAGACTCTCCACTGAAGGTGAAGCCCCACATGGGGCTTGATCTCAGAACGCTGAGATCATGACCTGAGCTGAAACCAAGAGTCAGATACTCAACCACCGATTGAGCTACCCAGGAGCCCCTGTGATAGATACTATCCTCCCCATTTTATAGATATAGAAACTTGGGAAGGTTAACTCCATGGATGGTCACATAGGTAGTAAGTGGCTAATGCAATGCAGATCGGTCTAAAGCCAAAGTCTGTGTTTTTAAGATGATCTTGGCTCTCCTGAGCTACCAATGGGGGTTATGAGTGATTTATATTCTTTATGTAACTTTCCTGAACTGTCCTATCTTTCTACATCAAACATGTATCTACCAGTCAGGAGAAATATATATATATATATTTTTTTTTGAAAAAGAGCGTTAAAAAAGAAATATGCAACAAAACCATATAAACAGGAGAAAGATACTGTATTGAACAAAAACATGTGTAAGGTCTGGGAGCTTCCTTTGAGGTACTTTGTAGTTGTTTGTTATCACACTATCAGTCTGTAGTTGTTTGTTACCACGCTATCAGTCTGTATATTTACATATACATATATGTAAACATATCACTGTCTTTGAGGGCAGGGGCCCTGTCATTTTTATCTCTGTGGTTTTGCTTAGGGAAGATATCCTCCAACATAGGGCTTAGGACATAGTACACTCTTAGTAATTGTGGAATGAGAGAAACCGCAGAGACGAGAGGCCGGTGACTGGAAGACACAATCAGAAAAGGTTTTACTGGACTCCAGGGGGTTGGGAGTTCTGAGAGGGCGACTAAGGAGCCAGGGAGGGGTTGGATGGGGACGGGGTGGGGGGACGACAGTGCTCAGGAGGAGGTTTTGGTTTTGACGCAGGAATTGAGCGGGAGGAATGTGACAGCGACAGTCGCAGGCCCAGCCTCCCAATTTTTGTCGTCGTCCCCCCCCCCCGCCTCGCGCTCAGAAGGGTGAAGGCAGGTCTCAGTTCCCTGTGGCGGGAGTGCGCGGTCGGCGGGCCGGGCGCTACCCGCACCTCCCCGGGCCGGGTCTCGGTTTCCATTCCCGGCTCCGACCGGAGTCCCGAGGCGCTGGCCGCGGTGCTGAAGCAGCGCTCTCGAAGGAGGGAGGAATGAGGGGCCGGGCCGCGGCGAAGAGGCGGAGCTCTCTGGAGCTCTAAGCTGGAAAGCGGGGGGAGGGGGAGGGCGGCGCCAGTAGGCCTGAGACCCTGGCAGACTGGAGAGGAGGCAGGAGACCGGAGACAGCCTGGCTAGAGCGGACAAAGGCATCTGGACAAGCCTCCCCTGAAGAAACCAAGGTTGTCTTACTGGTCTTATTTATTAATCCTCTTTCTTCTACCTTGGAGGGACCCTCACCTTGTACCCTTACCTCAGCCTCCTCCCCAAACCTGGCTAAGGAGTGACCCACTCCTAGGCCTCTGTCTGCAAAGTAACTGGCTTACAGTCCACAGGATCCCAGCCCAGGGCCTACATCCTCACCATGGTGAAGTTGCTGCCTGCCCAGGAGGCAGCCAAGATCTACCATACCAACTATGTGCGCAACTCAAGGGCTGTGGGTGTGATGTGGGGCACGCTCACCATCTGCTTCTCGGTACTGGTCATGGCCCTCTTCATCCAGCCCTACTGGATCGGTGACAGTGTTAACACACCCCAGGCAGGCTACTTTGGCCTTTTCTCCTACTGTGTGGGCAACGTGCTGTCCTCTGAACTCATTTGCAAGGGTGGCCCGCTGGACTTCTCCTCCATTCCCTCTAGAGCCTTCAAGACTGCCATGTTTTTTGTGGCCTTGGCCATGTTCCTCATCATTGGCTCCATCATCTGCTTTAGCCTCTTCTTCGTCTGCAACACGGCCACTGTCTACAAGATCTGCGCATGGATGCAGCTGGCTGCAGGTGAGCAGGATTAATGGGAGGACAAGCAGGGACCCCCCCCCCACCAGGCCACGGGGGAAGCTGCACCATTCCACCCTCTGTGGATGCTCTGGGTCTTCTACCCAGATGCTCTCCTTTACATTATATTTTTTTCAAAGATTTCATTTTTTAAGTAATCTCTACTCCCAACATGGGGCTCGAACTCACAACTCCAAGATCAAGAGTTACACGCTTCACCGACTGAGCCAGCCAGGCGCCCCTCAGCTGTTCTCCTTTAGCCCAGCCCTACTTAGTATTCTGCAGAAGCTTCTAGGAGTAGAGAATTTTAGAATGGCTGAGACCTAAAGGATCGTTGAGATCAAATTGTTCAACCCCATCATCTTGCAGATGGGAACTGAGGTCCAGAGAGGGGAAGTGACTCACCCAGGAGGACACAGCTAGTTGATAGAAGATGTCCTGAGTCCCAGGCCCCACATCAGAGGTTGTTGTTGCTCTGGGAAGGAAAAAGAAGGGAGCTTCCATGGTCGGCCATGTGGGAATAGGATCCAACCCGGGGCAAAATAGTCAAGCACATCCTAAATGTCTCCATCTCCCACTTCTAGGCATTTGTTCTTTCTCCTTTAAGGATCCACAGATCCCTGCCCTCACTCCTTCCCTCCCACCCCAATTGCTTTCAGGGAGATTCTAAGGTCAGTCATTGATTTGGAGTGCTATGCTGTGACCTTTCCCATAGAAACTTGCATTTAAGTTCCCTCTTTCATGGTGGAGTGAAAGTCTTTGTTCCCTAGTTATAGGTTTCCATACTTGAGGAAATAAATGGGACTGATATTTTTTTTAAAGATTTTATTTATTTATTTGAGAGATAGAGAGCACGAGAGGGAAGAGGGTCAGAGGGAGAAGCAGACTCTCCGCTGAGCAGGGAGACTGATGTGGGACTCGATCCCGGGACTCCAGGGTCATGACCTGAGCCGAAGGCAGTCGCTTAACCAACTGAGCCACCCAGGTGCCCAGGAGTGATATTTTGTGATGGAGGAGTAGGGTGGTGGCTAGGGTCTTTTAAAACTATGTGGGGTAGGTGGCTACTTATGGTGCCCAGGAACAAGGCCTTCCCTGTCCCTTTTTCTTTCTCCTGGCCCAGGCAGGCCTCTCAGTCCTTGAGCCAGCTGGTCCTGTTCTCTAAAGCCTTGTCCGGCAGCCCTTGGTCCTTCCCTACCCCAAGGGCCATGCACAGGCTGCCCATACTAGGAAATGTCCAGGAGCAGTGCTAGGACTGCAGACTAGAGAGAAAATCATTTTGACATTATTGGTTAGAATGAGAAGCAGTATTATCCATAACGGAGAATGAGCAAGGATCAGAATCCCAGACAACCAAATGCATAGACTCAACACTCTGTCAGAGTTGGAGGGGGACCCCAGAGAACTGTAAGTACCCGCGCCAACTACAGATGAGGAATCTGGGACTGAGAAAGAGGGAAAGACTTGACCAAGGCTATAGCAGATCACCTGGCAACTAAGGACCAAGGGGAATTAAGGCAGTGGGTTCCAGAAACTAGATGTATTCCAAAGACATTTTTTATTAGCCACACATTTACATAGGTATAATGCCTTACAAAGTACTTTCATATATATCATCTGGAGGAGCCCTATCCCTACCTAGCGAGGGAGATATTCCTCTTATTTTATAGATAAGGCTCTTAGTGGGTAACTTGTTTTTTAGCACAGGTAGTGATGGACAGAACCTTTGATTCAAAATCTTGTACTCAGGCCACTCATCTGGCTCCAGAGCTGCCTCCCCAATCCATCTACCATCTCCCTCTCCTCTTGTCTCTCTATACATTGAGGGAGAGGCTGGGGCAAGGCTGAGGTAGATCTTGGTGAGCAGTGGGGAGTAGGAGGGGGAATGAAGATTTGGCAGTTTTGTGACAAAGAGGAGTAGAATGGACCCTGGCATGCTTACCAGCTGGTCCTCCATATCAGAGCTATGGAATGCTAGAAACACAACCATTCCTCTCATTCTCCACACTGTCCCCTCCCACAGCCTCCTGCAACAGGTACCATTTGGTGAACAGGCAGTGCTTGGGAAGGCCTGGGTGGGGTAGGCATCGGCAGGCCATTTGAATTAGACTCCAGGTCATGGAGCTGGAGACACTGATAGCAGAGGTGGCCAGATGCCACCCTATGAAACATTTATGTTGGGGGAGAGTGAAGGTGGTGTCATGTTCCATTCTTTAGTGTAGGGGAATGGAAGATGAGCCAAACGGAGGGATGAAGAGGTCTATGTGCTCTGCAGACAGCAGCTGGGACATGCATCCATTTGAAGATACCTAAACCAGTTAGTTTAACCTTGCCAAGAAGCCTGAGACCAGGGAGGGGAGCAGGAGAAAGGAAAGAGGATCGATGACGGGGGCAGTGTGGGGTGGAAGTTTAACAATGTTAATTGAGCTTCTGGATGCCAGGTGTAAGCTGTGTGTGGTTCCAGCTCCTAGAAACACAGGTAGGGCAAGTTGCTTGTCTCTCTGAGTCTTGATAACCTCATCTGTAGAATGTAGCAACAGGACCTCCTATCCCAAAGTTCTGGTGAGGATGGGATGTCTAATGCATATAAAACACCTTCTACAGTGCTTGACACATAGTAGGTGCTCAGTAAATGTGAAAACCACAAAAGCAACTTTATCAGTCAGGATGGGTGAGGTGACAACTCCCAAATCTTAGTGGCTTAAAGCAAAGCTTTATTTTTTGCTTGTGGTACATGCTCATTGAGGATCAGTTGGGGGCTTGGCTCTCACTGTTCTCTCCTGGAACCCTGGCTGATGTAGCATCAGATGTCCTCTGGCTGTCATCATGGCAGAGCGAAAGGGAGCTCTGGAAGGTCTCTCCCTAGCAGTTAAATGCTCTGGTCTGGAAATGCACACATTTCCGCTCACATTTTGTTTTGTAAGGGAACTCTTACGGCCTTGCCTAACTTGAAAAGAGGAGAGCTAGGAAGTATAATCCTACTATGTACCTGAAACATTTGTGAACACCTCTAATGACACTCATATCCACTGAGGTTGCTTCCATTGGCTTCAGTGCCAATAATAATAGCAACAACTGACAGTAACTGGCTGTTTGCCATGAACCAGACACTGCAGTGAGCGTTTTCTCCACCTGACCACGCTTAATCCTCATAACTCTGCTATGAGTCAGGCATTGTTATCCTTGTTTTACAGATGAGAGACTGGAAGTCAGAAGGGGTAAATAAACTCCCCCTTAGAGCCCCGAGACACTACAAATGGGGGTGACCCCCACTGTGCCCAGGCCCCTGGGTCAGGTGCTCACAGAGGTCCGTGGCACCCGTAGTAACAACCTGTTTCCAGGTTAGAGGCCCTGGGCTATTTTCCAGAGATGCTATGGAAGGAGAATGGGGCCAAGGGGAGGAGATGGGGAGAATGGAAAGTCCAAAAGGGCAGCTCCTTTCCACATTGAACGGTTCCCCTCCCCCACCACAGTTAAGGCGCCAAACTACTGGTCTTCTACCAACTGGGGAAGGCCATAGGTTTTACCAAGGCTCTGGGAGGATTCCTGCTCCCCTCCCCTAAGTATCTTCCTGAAACACTTCTCATTTTGTCACTAAGTCTGAAATGTCAGCACTAAATACATTCAGCTCTTTGGAGAGGTGTGTCTGGGAGTTGAAGGAATTAACTTTGAGGTCAAAAAAGTCAGGAACCAGGTGTTGGCTCTGCTGTAGCTGGATGACTGGGCAATTCACTTGGTTTCTCTGAGACCTCAGTTTTCTAACCTGTAAAATGGGATATTAATACATGGCCTACTTCACAGAACTGTTGTCGGGATCAAGAGAAAAATGGTACATGAAATATTTTGTGACCTATAAGAGAACTATATAAATAACTATGTCCTGTATAAAATGAAAGGAGAGTTGATATATTTAGGTGGGGAGGTGGGATCCTGATCTTTATACTTTCTCTGCATTCGTTTGATCTGCTGACTTTCCTTGCAAGCCCAAGCTGAGCCCAAGGTAGGTAACTGGGTCCTGTGAGGTGCTTCTCAGGTGCTCCTGGGTGGGGCAGAGCCTTGGAACTAAAGAGCCTCCAGGCCTGTGGAAGGAGGGTGAGGAATGGGAAAGTGGCACAGATAATGGAAGGCACCCCCTGCCTACATGGTGATTGTCCTTGGGGTTGCCTTGGTCACATTCCAGGATTATGTCACCTATCTGTGCAGCGAAGGTGGGGTGGTCATTGGTGGGAGGGCATGGGAGAAGTGAGGAGAAGGTAGGGAAAATGACACTTTTGGCTGTAAATACTGTCAATGGAAGCACAGGGTGGAATAATCGTAGCTAACACTCATGAAGTACTAAGTATGTGCCAGGCACTTTTCCATTATTAACCCATTTGAACCTCACTTCAATCCAAACAAGTAGGGACTGTTCATATCCCCACTTTATAGATGAGGAAACTGAGGCCAAAAAAGCTTAAGTGGCTTGCTCTGAGCCACACAGCTAGTTAGCAAAGAGCTGGGCATGAAATCCAGGCCGACTGTGCTAGTGTTTCCCAGCTTTTCCTATTGAGAGAATTACCTGAAAGAATGTTTTTAAAAACAGGGATTCCTGAGCCCAACCCTAGCCTGGAAATCAGTATTTTAAATAAATATTAAGGGTTCTTAAATTCAGAGAAGTGTGAGCAACTGCACTTAACCTGTACTGGGTCAGGATGAAGAGACCTATTTGCTTGAATGAAAGGTTCAGGAAGGAAGCAGCCAGAGATGGAGCTGGAAAACTTTGTGTATTCATTAAATCTAAGATTCCAAGTTGTAGGACATGCCATTATTCTATGTGCTGTAAAAAGGAAAAATACTTTTTCTTTTTTTTAAGTAGTCCAATGCAGGGCTTGAACTCACGACCCTGAGATTAAGACCTGAGCTGATATCAAGAGTCAGATGCGTAACCAAGTGAGCCATCCAGGTGCCCAGGGAAAAATACTTCTACTCAAACCATGGCCTGAAGCTTTCTTATTATACTTATTTCAGAGATATTGGAGTATGAATAATTGTACATCTTAGAAATGATGAGTTCTCTGGGCTGGGATCAGATTTTGGAGGGGTTTGAAGCCAGAGAGGGGCAAGGCTGAGGGCCTGATAGGACCACGTGGTGCTATGGCAGAATCTTCCCTGGGCTGAGGAGCTTGAAATCAGCTTTGCTAACTAGCTGTGTGGCTCAGAGCAAGCCACTTAAGCTTTTTTGGCCTCAGTTTCCTCATCCACTTTCTGCCTCTACTCCTGACCAAGAGCAAGCTCTTGGATCCTCAATTTTCTCCCCTGGGTTCTACAAGAATGATGGTAGGAGCGGCCCCATACCTCTCAAGGCTGTTAACACAAAGAGAAGGGAAGTGACAAGATGGCAGCAGTGCAAGGTGGGAGGTAGAAGGCTGAGCACACCCAGGCTGACACCATCTGCACCCCCTCCTGCCCCCTCAGCCACAGGCCTGATGATTGGCTGCCTGGTCTATCCAGATGGTTGGGACTCAAATGAGGTGCGGCGCATGTGTGGGGAGCAGACGGGCAAGTACACACTGGGTCAATGCACCATCCGCTGGGCCTTCATGCTGGCCATCCTCAGCATCGGAGATGCCCTCATCCTCTCCTTCCTGGCCTTTGTGCTGGGCTACCGGCAGGACAAGCTCCTTCCTGATGACTACAAGGCAGATGGAAAAGGTAACTCGCCATCCCCCAGGGAGGTGGGGCTTCCTCTCAGCCAGTCACCAGATGATTGGTCCCTGGCCAGGGGTTGGGGACAACAAGACCAATTAGACACAGCCCTTATTCCAGAGGCCAAGGGCCAGTGGGGTTTTGCAAGCCAGCAGGTGATGAGGTAATGACAGAGGCTGTCTGTGATAGAAGGGTGTCCTCCTGCCTCCCTCAAACCCCCACTCCTGTCAGGGTCTACAGGGGAGAGGACCCTGATCCAGCCTGGGGAGCTAGGGATGGCCTCTTATAGAAGGTGGCACTGAGGCTGGGTCTGGAAGTTCACTGGTGGTTTGTTTGGTGGAGAGAGGAACAACAGGTTAGCAGAGGGGCTGAGTTGTTGGGGTAGGAGGAGAAAGGCAGGTTAGGGGGCAGACGTGACAGCTCCTGGAGTACAGATGGTGGGCGCTCCCTTGAGTTGGGGAGAGAGCCTTGGGGTTCTTTGTATGCCATCCTGTTGCAATTTCCTTAGCCCAAATCCTAACCCTGAGTTTTAAGAGTCAGATGTAGCTGACCCAAAGCCCAGGCAGAGCCTTCAGCCTTTTATGACTATTTCCCATTGACCTTTTTTCCTCCTAGGGTACTTTCTGCTCCTGTCTCTCATTAAGCTCTTCCCCTGTGTTAAAGGGGCTTTCTTGGGGTATAAATTTTATCTCCTAGTCATAGGGCAAGTCCTGTCTCACACCATTGTGAATCCCAAAATGCCTATCCAGTTGGTGGCCACTGTGAGGGGCCTGTTGCACCTCAGAGACCTCTCCAGTCACCTTTCCCCACAGTTGTCTTCACCCCATTGACCTGAACTAGAAGAAAGAGGCAAACTCCCTTGCCCCCCATGACCAAGGACCTTTCCCAGATAAGGAACTTGAAGCCTGGAAGGGAGACCTACCCAGAGGTACACAAAAAGGTGGTTGCAAGGAGGACCCGGAATTCTGGTCTTCTCTGGCTCAGCCCAGGGCCCACTTCTCCATAAGGAAGTAATCAAACATCTTGCCCTTCTTTGGAAGTGGAAGAAGAGTGACTCACACACCTAAGTTATGAAAAGCAAATTACTAGAATGAGCTGGGTCAAGGAGAAGAGAAGACAGAGGTATCTTTCCATTGTAGGAGGTGCCTATAGCTTCTAGGTTCTGAGAACACTTAAGACCTGGGTCCCTTGCAAACCCCATAAAGGGAAGGGAAATGGAGCTAATATTTACTGAGCCATTTCCATGCGCAGGAGTGATGTAAGTTTTGTTCATAGGAGCCATTTTTATTTAATCTGCACAGCAACCCTGTGAGGGCAGATTGGAGATGGGGGAGTCCAGCAGCAATTTGTACGACCAGCATTTTCTCCAGGGATGGAGGGTTTCTCAGGGAGGCTTCATTTAGCAGGAGCTGCTGGAAACATTTTGTTCAGCTCTCAGCTTCAGGCAGGGCCAACCTTAAATCTGTCTGCACACATGCAGGGAATATTTTTACATTACTCATTTGCATTCTTTCCTTTTCAGGAGGGATTCTTTCAGCTGGAAAGAAATTTTATTGACATCACTCATTCATTCATTCATTCATTCATTCACTCAGTAGGCTCCACGCTTAGCATGGAGCGCAAGGCTCACGACCCTGAGATCAATAACTGAGCTGAGATCAAGAGTCAGACACTTAACCAACTGAGCCACCCAGGTGCCCCACATAATTCTAAAGGGAAGTGCTTTCTTATGAAGTGATGGTCTTGGCCCTTTGACACTTTTCTTTACAAATCAAAATGTCATTTTGCTCTCTTCTCCTTCCTTGTCTTTCTCTTTTCATATCCCATGCACCTGTCTTCAATCTTTTCAGATTTTTTCTCTCCATATTTTAGCTCCTTCACTATCATGCAGGATTTAGTTCATCTTTTTTTTTTTTTTTTTTTAAAGATTTTATTTATTTAGGGCGCCTGGGTGGCTCAGTTGGTTGAGCGACTGCCTTCGGCTCAGGTCATGATCCTGGAGTCCCGGGATCGAGTCCCACATCGGGCTCCCTGCTCGGCAGGGGCCTACTTCTCCCTCTCCCTGCTGCTCACCCTGTTTGTGTTCTCTCTCTCTCTCGCTCAAATAAATAAATAAATAAAATCTTTAAAAAAAATGATGAACTGTAACAGGTGTTGGTGAGCACATGGAAAAATTGGAACTCTCATACGCTGCTAGTGAAAATGCAAAATTGTGCAGTTGCTGTGGAAAACAGAAGGGCAGTTCCTCAAATGGTTAAACATACAGTTACCACGTGGCTCAGCAATTTATTCCTAGGTATGTATGTAGGAAAACTGCAAACATGTTTGTACAACAATTTGTATACAACTTGTGTACAAATGTTCATAGCAGCATAATAGCCAAAAAAGTGGAAACAACCCAAATGTGAATCAACTGATGACTTGGATTAGATGATATGTGTATATCCATATAGAGGAATATGATTCAGCTCTAAAAAGGAATGAAGTACTGATAATTGCTACCATGTGGATGAACCTTGAAGATGTTGTAAGTGAAAGGAGCCATGCACAAAAGACCATATGTTGTATGATCCCAATTATATAAAATGTTCAGGATAGGCAAATCCATAGAGACAGAATGTAGATTTTAGCAGTTGCTTGGAGCTGTAAAGAGGGGGAAATTGAGAGTGATTGATAATGGGCATAGGGTTTCTTTTTGGGGTGATGGAAATGTTCTAGAATTGGATAGCAGTGGTGGTTGCACAACCCAGTGATTATACTGACAACCCACCAAGCTGTCACTTTAAATGAGTAAATTTTGTTAGTGAATTATGCCTCAATAAAAAAATAAAAGATAGTATGAATGATTAGATAGTGTGTATAAGGCCCTAACAGTGCCTGCATGTTATACAGGTGATTAATATCTCTTAGTTCTCTCCCCCTTTTGTCCTCCCAGGATCTCCAACTTTTGACATCATCCACCTGCCCACGCAGTAACAGCTCCTGTGCTCCACGTGCCCACCGACCCGGGGGGTACAGCAGTGCAAAAGACATGGCATGGGGGGTACAGCAGTGAGGGAAGAAGTCTCATTGGAACTTACCACCTGATAAGGGATGCCACATGCAATATGGAATTACAAGCTGATAAACATTATGGAAAAAAAAAACCTTCCTGACAGCGAATAAAAGAAATTTGATCTAGTTTGAAGAGGGAGTAGTGTGCAGGGAGTTATCCTGAAAACAAGGCTTTGTTGTAAACAAATAATGTTCTCTTTCTCCTTGCAGAGGAAGTCTGAAGCAGCTGAAGTTCGGTGAGTAATTGCACTGTTGAGGGTGGTCTGCGTGCCTCTGGAAGGGCTGTGGCCTCCCCGTTTCCTTATTGACTCATCAGGCTGAGTGGCTGGTGGGGGGCTGGGCTGTAGGGGCTGTGGTGGGGCCTGGGAAGAGGAGCAAGGACCCTGGCAGGAGCTAGCTGGCATCTGAGACCCTCTAGTTCTACTTGTCTTGAGAAGTAGAAAAAAAACAGGAAGTTTTAATAATTTAAAACAGGCAGGTGGTTTCATAAACTCATCTTTTTCTGGAGCCTGGCAAACAAGAACAGACTGTTTACAAGTCGGCATTCTAATTTGGGCCTTTATTTTCAGAAAGATTTGAAATGATTTGTAAGAAACATGATAGAGAACTTAATAAAATAAAAAAATAAAAGTCACGGAGAGGAAAACAAATATTCCAGAAAGCTAGGCTAATAGAAATACTGTATTGAGTATTAAATTTAGCTTTATGCTTCCTGATAGCCGAGGCAAAAAGAAAAATATGATGTAACCTCTTTTAAGGTCTAGTTGAAAAGGAAGCATATCAATTTCCTTATTGTCTTTTAAGTTCCAAAATGTGATTTGACAAGAACAATAAGGAATATGTTAAAAAAAAGTTCCAAAATGTGATTTGACAAGAATAATAAGGAATACATTAAAAAAGTTCCAAAATGTGATTTGACAAGAATAATAAGGAATACATTAAAAAAAAAATCCTGCCTTTTATTAAAGACCTCCAGCAGGCCAGCCACTTTGTGTGGGGAGGAGGGATTATCTCCATTTCAACTATTTTAATTTTTGCAAAGTAAAAATTAATCCGATCCTTGACCACATAGGTATACTTTTCTGAATAATTAAAATTAGCATTGTCCCTCCATACTTATTACATGATTCTCAAATATGCATACAATCCACCCAGGGATCTTGTTAAAATGCAGATTTTGATTCAGTTGGAGTGGGGCCATAAACCGTGTGTTTCTAACCTGCTTCTCATAATGGTCGCACTTTGAGGAGCAAACTGTTAGAGCGTATGTGAACATACATGGGGAAGCTTTTTTTTGTTTGATTGGCTTTTTTAAAATGTCAGATTTTATACTCTTGCAATTTTTTTTTTAAATACCACAGGTGAACTGTTTCCCTGACAACGGAAAATTAAGGAATCGAATTCTTCAAAGATAAAAACTTGTTCCTTCCATGCTTCTCTGTCCCTGGCTACTGTAGATGTGATATTCTGAAGCCTTTCACCATAGGATTAGAACCTGACATTGAAACAAGGCCTCCTACTGTATACAGAAGACTTTCAGGGAAAGCAGAACCGCAGTGACCCAGATCAGAGATATTGAGAGAGACGTGGGTGGTACTCTCCTGATGGGGCCCCAGGTCTCTTTGTATCCCCTTTACACCAGCGATCACTTTATCCCCTCGAAGCCTCTCCTCTGTAAAATGAGAGGGCATTATAATGAGTCCACGTCTGGGGCCTCCCAGGTCTGAGTCTTCCACAGCCTGCCTGCCTGAGGATACATTTGTTTGAAGGCACACTAGAAACTGCCACCCAGCTCTAAAAGGGCAGCTGAGGAAGGGGTTGTTAAGCGTGCTAGGCCATTTCAGGTGGAAGTTTTGGGGGTCTTTGTTTCTCCTTTCTCACATTTTGTTGTCTTATTGATGATCGGGGTGGGTAAGGAATGGAGGGGCCACCAGAACCTGAATCCTTCAGAAAATCCTATAAAGATTGGGTGAACACAAGATCTAAAAACTCAGGAGACTAAAATGACTCTCTCTTCTTTGGACCCCAACATAACATTCCCTTAGTACCTACACTGACCCAATCAGAACTGGCCACTGGCTTGAGAAATTTACTTGTGTCCAAGTAATTTGTTAGAGTAGATTACATTCCTTATAAAAAAAAAATACTCCCAATTTGGCACTCTAAATGGTGCTTCTGCCAGCCTCCAGAGGGGAACTCAGTTTAGGTGATACCTCATTGTAGCAAATGCCAAGACAAAAACAGGTTCTTTAGGCTACTTCCTGCCTGGGGATGGTGCATAGAAACCGGGTTTTGTTGATCATCCGCAGTGGATAAACCTGACGAACAGGTGTTTTTCTCCTGGTCTTGTGCATTCACCCAGTGAAGAGAAAAAGTGGGTGCTGGTAGAGAGGAGAGGAGGTAAACGCTGAACAAAACTGTATTGGATCAAACTGAGGGTTGCTGGAGTGGTGGGGGATGGGAGGGATGGGGTGGCTGGGTGATAGACATGGGGGAGGGTATGTGCTATGGTGAGCGCTGTGAATTGTGTAAGACTGTTGAATCACAGACCTGTACCTCTGAAACAAATAATACATTATATGTTAAAAAAAAAGAAAGATCGTAGGAAGGGAGAAATGAAGGGGGGGAAATCGGAGGGGGAGATGAACCATGAGAGACGATGGACTCTGAGAAGCAAACTGAGGGTTCTAGAGGGGAGGGGTGGGGGGATGGGTTAGCCTGGTGATGAGTATTAAAGAGGGCATGTACTGAATGGAGCACTGGGTGTTATATGCAAACAATGAATCATGGAACACTACATCAAAAACTAATGATGTAATGTACTGTGATTAACATAAAATTAAAAAAATACAAAAAAACTCCCCTGTATTGGATCCTGTTACTGATCAAGGAGTAGTCACTGACACAGTAAACAGTAGGTTTCTCATTCCTGGGCCGTAAGGGATGCTTTTTTTTTTTCTTTAAAGGAAACTGTCCCCAACATGGGGCTTGAACTCATAACCTAGGTGAGAGTCGTATTCTCTACTGACTGAGCCAGCCAGGTGCCCCTGTAGAGCATGCTTTTTAACCAATGCCTTGACAACCTGCCCAGTGAGGGTGGTTTCTTGTACAGTTCATATGGATTAGGAATGAGTACCCCAACACTGTCCTGTTGTTGGTAACAGGAACTATTAGAATGGGACTTAATAATCACATTCATATTTTCCTGTGTTGATAAAATTATTTCAGTCAAGCACTTACTTCATGCAAATCTGATGAATGACAGAATCTGACAGATTCTGTAGCTTAGTGCCTTTTCTAGTTGTATTTGTTTACTACTTCTCATAATTTTACTTTTTATAAGAAGTAACTTTTCTAAAAGTCTACCTTCTAAAGATCTCTCACTAAAATAGTAACTATGGTGTTCCACAGAAGCTTCTGGGGGATTCAGGGTGCATCTGCCAAACAGCCTGCACCTTGCTCTTGCCAGGAATAGCATGTTTCACCAAAGCGCTTGGAGTGGGTTTACCAATGACCCGGTGCTGGGGAAGGATCTGCAAATCTGTTTATGGGTCAGATGACCTAGATGACCTTTTGCTTTAACTTCAAAGAAACTCAGAATTCAACCTCTCCAATCACAGTATTGATTTTGGTTGCTATCTAGTATCTGTTTATCAGCTCAAATGGCTTTACTTTTACATAAATTCTTAAAGGCAGGAATCTCATCTTTGAAAGTATATAGAAAATCAGTAAAATCAGCACTCCTCTAACCAAGTCGCCTTATTACTTTCTCTCTTCTGGCTTGCCTCTGCCTTGGGCTGGGCTGTTGGGACGGTTGTGATGCCCACACTTTACCAACAATGACTAGGCCTGAGCAGATATGGTCAAAAGAGGATTAATCATTTCTGAGAGGTGAAGGGGAAGGATATTTTAAATGCTTTCATTGTCTTACATCCCTGTATTAGTTACCAATTGCTGTATACATAACACACTGCCACAGAACTCAGTGGCTTAAAACGTTTTAGTTTTTGTGGGTTAGGGATCTGTCAAGGGTAGTTAAGTGCCTCTGTCTCAAGGTTTCTCACGGCGCTGCAATTAAGGTGCTGATCTGCTTCCAAGCTCAGCGGTTGTCAGCAGGACGCAGCTTCTCACTGGCAGTTGTGCTCTGGGCCTCCCCATAAAGCAACTCACATGGCAGCTTGCGTCCCCAGAAGAGCGAGAGGAGAGGGGGCACAGAAGACAGCAGCCACAGCCCTTTGTAACCCAACCTCAGACGTAACACCCGTCACTTCTACCTTAATCTGTTAGAACAGTCAGCAAGTCCAGCCCACCTTCAAGATGAGGGGATTATACAAGTGTGCTAATATCAGGTGGGAATCACTGGGGTACTTTTGCCTAAAGATCAAGCAAGGGCCCTAATCCTCAAAACTCATCCCACTTTTGTTATCTCAATCTTGCTATCTCAAGATTTGTAGTAGGGTCCACTAATTTCCCACAGCGACGGTACTTTGCTCTACATTTACAAAATCCAAAGCAACCAGTGCACGGTCTTAAGGGCACAACTTCTAGGACATAGCTCAGTTGCGGGCAACCGGTGCGCTTGTACAACAGTCCAGTTCTGTCAAATGCAGGGCAAGGCTTGTTATTGTGTTAAGGTGGGCAGAAACTAGATCTGAATTAATGACAAAAGACTGTGATAAAAAAGCCTCTTCCCTTATAAGGAGTGGTACAGCCAGCAACACAACTACATACTAATGTAAACTTAATTAAAACTTCCAAACACTTAAAATGATCTCAAATTTTCTGGCTTTTTAACTGGGGTATCTGATGTCACAAGGACTTGGTGTGGATTAATATGTGTGCAGAGACTTAAAGACAGATGTGTATCATACATGCAGTTTCTAAATTCCAACTTTTTAAAAATAAGACTTCAGGGGCGCCTGGATGGCTCATTCGTTAAGCGTCTGCCTTCGGCTTGGGTCATGATCCCAGGGTCCTGGGATAGAGCCCCGCATCGGGCTCCCTGCTCGGCGGGGAGCCTGCTTCTCCCTCTCCCTCTGCCTGCCACTCTGCCTACTTGTGCTCGCTCTGACAAAATCTTAAAACAAAAAACCCCCCAAGACTTTAGTGACATAAAAACAAATTTTCTCCTCAGGAGGTCTCAAGGCTCATAGATTATATAAAAGTTTATATATTTAATCTTCATATACTTTAGACTGTGCAAGAGATCTAGTAGTTACCAATGCCTTGCTA